AACTTCTACGCGGGCAAGATGAAGTCTAGCCAGGAAGCAGACTCGGAAAAGCAGGGCGCTATTCTGGACAAGGTACATCAGTTGTCGGAGCATGTAACCATTTGCCTCTCCGCGATGATCACATATCTCAGCGAGTACGGCCTGGAACACGTCTTCGATCTCACAAAGTACTTCCAGCCTTTCAGTGCCAGGTCTTACATGCTGCTGAACGGAAACACACTCTCTAGTTTGGAAATCTACCAGAACCAAACGGACTACACTTCGAAGGGCAGCTTGTTCTGGACCATGAACAGAACAAAGACCCGTTTTGGGCAACGGTTGCTGAGAAAGTGGGTTGGTCGACCCCTTATAGACAAGGAGAGATTAGAAGAGCGCATAGCAGCGGTGGAAGAGCTCAAGGAGGGCGAGAACACGATCCCTGTCGATAAGCTCAAGTTCGTGCTCGGAAAGATCAGGACAGATCTCGAAAAGGTGCTCATCCGCATCTACTACAAGAAGTGTACAAGGCCAGAACTGTTGGCAGCTTTGCAAAGTCTGCAGGAGATTTCGAGCCAATACTTGTCGGCGAAGACACCCGAAAAGAGTGGTTTCTCCTCGTCGTTACTGAGTGAAGCTGTTTCGAGTGTTCCGAAGATCTACGATGACTTGAACAGCTTTCTGGAGAGAATCAACGCCAAAGCCGCAAAAGATGACGACAAGTACTCGTTCTTCCGCGAAGAACATGAGGCCGAAGATATCAACGATTTGAAATTGAGCATTGCCTCTGTTGAAGACGACCTCAACACGCACCGAAAAGACGCAGCTGCTAAGCTGGGGAAGAGCAAAGTAGACTTCGTTACTGTAGCTGGCATTGAGTACTTGATCGAGGTCAAGAGGAAGGCACCCGAAGAGAAGAAAGTACCTGCCTCGTGGCAACAGATCTCAGCTACCAAGACTACATTGCGTTTCCACACGCCAGAAGTTAAGCGCATGCTACAAGAGCGAGATCAGTACAAGGAGTCGCTGGCGGCGGCATGCGACAAAGCTTACATGGGCTTGCTAGAGGAGATCTCGTCCAAGTATCAACAACTGCGGGACTGTGTAGCTTCTCTAGCCACACTCGACGCCCTCCTTTCCCTGGCTACCTTGGCAAACCAGCCAGGTTACGTCAAGCCGACCTTCACAGACGACATAGAGCTCAACATCACTGGTGGTCGGCATCCCATGGTCGAGCAACTGCTCCTCGAAAACTACGTCCCCAACGACCTCACCCTTTCACACGATGCTACCCGTGCTCTACTGATCACAGGCCCCAACATGGGCGGAAAATCCTCTTATGTGCGATCTGCAGCTCTAATCGCCATCATGGGCCAAATCGGCTCCTACGTCCCCGCAACGGAAGCGCGACTCGGCATGCTAGACGCGGTCTTCACCCGCATGGGCGCATTTGACAACATGCTCAAAGGCGAATCAACCTTCATGGTCGAGCTCAACGAAACCTCCGACATACTCAAATCCGCAACGCCGCGCTCCCTCATCATCCTCGATGAACTGGGCCGAGGAACCTCAACCTTTGACGGTGTCGCAATCGCAGAAGCAGTGCTCGACTATGTTATCCGCGACTTGCAGTCACTCACGCTGTTCATCACACATTACCAACATCTAGCCAAACTGTCGAGCCGCTTCTCCAACGGGGAGCTGAAGAACGTTCATATGCGCTTTGAAGAGCAGAACGGTGGGAAGGAAGTCGTGTTCTTATACGAAGCTACTGAAGGTATTAGCCACCGGTCTTACGGGCTGAACGTTGCGCGGTTGGCGAGGGTACCGGAGAAGGTCATTGATGTGGCGGAGGTCAAGAGTGCGGAGCTTGAGGAGAGCATGGGGGCTTGTAAGCTGGGGAACCTGTAGGTCGTACCCAATGTGTTGATGGTGAGATTGAGTGCTAACATTAAGCAGGTCGCGCATGATGAAGGGTCTGTTGACTGAGGGCTCGGAAGCAAGTCTTGATAGACTTGTTGAGGGTATTGAGCAGCTGTAAGATATGGCTGTGTTGTATTATATGGAGATGCGACGGGCCATCGTTCATGGCAAAAGGTGGAAGCATCAGGCGTTTGATGACCGTGCATACGGGTAGTAGATTTGCGTGTATCAACAACGCATCGCTGCGTCGTCAGTTGGGGTCTTGCCGAAATGGTTAAATCGCGCAAACGAATCACATCACCGTCGACAAGACCATGTCACTGTCTTGCTTGTGGTGTATTGTCATTGTTTCATTTCATGACTATCATAACCATATCCTTGTGATCGTAGTCAATGGCCAGCGGATCTCCTGTCCTCCCGGCTCATGGTATACCCACCATCACGCCTTGTCCTAGCTGAACAGCTTAACCGAGACGGGTCTCCTTGTCCTTGATGGGCATATCGGAGCCAGTGGTAGACTTGTACTGGCCACGGATGAAGTCGCTGATCTGTTCGTCCTTGGCTTGCTCGACGGCGGACTCGTTGTCCTGAGCACCCTGGCCCATGAACTTCTCTTGGACGAAGTCGACACCTAGTGTGAACAGTTAGTACGTGTCAAACAGTTATAGCACGGCATGGTAAATGTGGGTTGGATGGAGGACGACATACCCTTGTCGAGGTAGTCCTCGTTCTTCTCGCTCTCCTTGCCGCCGCCAGCAGCGGAGTTGAGCTTGTCACCGATGCCACCGAGGAAGCCACCGGAGCCGGAGGACTTCTGCTCAGAGCCTTGGCCTTGGACGACCTGCTCGTTGACGGACTGGCCTTGGTTGTTACCGCCGCCAGCGAGCTTGTTGACGAAATCCATGATGTTTGTTTGTTGTAATTGAAGGTAGGTAAGGTAGATAAAGAGTCAGAGTAGTAAAGGCAGAAGTAGTCGTGTGAGGTTGTGATGAGTGATAAGCCGAGTGCACTGGAGGAGAGAGAGCTATTTAAGCAGCTGATTGCAAGGCAGGGATGGTTGATCTTGGAAACGGGAGCACCGATGGGTCAATGGGGTCAATCAAGATCTAGTCCCTGGTGACAGAAGCCTTGGTATTGGAGCTAAGCGCGTTTGATAGGTGCGTGTCGCAGCGTGCAAGGAGGCTACGGGCGACGTACCTGATGCGATGCTGGTCTTGGTCGGCACTGCCCCGCCCAAATGCGCGCCGACGTCATCAGACACCCCGCCATCGCGGAACCTGAAACTAGTCCCTTTGCGAGGCCAAGCTCCGCTATCGCGTCTTGCACGTGCGAGCGACCTTGCGACTAACCTTGGAACCTTGCGATTGTAACCTTGGAATTTGTTTTGCTTCTTTGAGGGGTTTTGTTCAGATCGACGCGGCTGTGCTGTTGTCGTCATCGCCATGATACCCATCACGATTATCACGGGCTTCTTGGGCTCGGGAAAAACAAGTACGTAGTAATTTTCAGCTGCTTTCTGAGGAACTAGTAGCACAGTACCAGCACGTCGCATTGCGTGTGTATAAGCCGTCAAGAACGTGTAAATCACATCGAGAAGAGTTATAACCTTGCTAACCTCCTCGCAGCGCTCATCCTGAACCTAATTCCCCAACTACCCAAAACCTACAAACTCGCGCTCTTGAAGAACGAATATGGCGACATCAAAGTCGACACAGCGCTCGCCTCCTCAGCCGCTATATCAGGCGTACAAGAGCTGCTCAATGGATGCATATGCTGCAACCTCGTCGGGCAACTCTCCGACGCCCTCGAAACGCTCGCCAACGACGTAAATCCCGACCGCATAGTCATCGAGACCTCCGGCTCTGCCTTCCCCGCAACACTCGCCATGGAAGTAAACCGACTGAGCAGAGAAACGGGCAAATACGTTCTAGACGGCGTCATGAGTGTGATTGACGTGGAGAATTGGAAGGGCTACGAAGACACGAGCTACACGGCCAAAATGCAGGCACGGTACACGGATCTCATTGTCCTTAACAAGCACGAGCTTGTTAGCGAGAGACGGTTGGAGGATGTTGAGGATGCAGTGTTGGCGCTGGAGGTGGAACCGCAAATACCCAGGACGAAGAGCAGGAAGGGGTGGGTGGATAAGGATATTGTGTTTGGACTGGATGCGAGGCTGGCAGGGGTCACCGAGGAGAACGGAAGCGCGCACGCACATGAACACGACCATGATCATTCAAGCGAAGTCGAGGTCCTCACGGTCACACTGAAAAGCAAGGATGGAAACAGTAGTGTCGATACTGCGAAACTCGCCAAGCTCCTCGAAGACCCAACAAAAGACGAGGTGTACCGGATAAAAGGCATTTTGTACTCTTCTACGCCGCCGAAATCATCGGACGCTGATGCGGACGCGCACCAGAAAGTACAGGAGGGTCGAGCAAGATATATTCTGAACTGGTCATTCGGTCGCTGGACATTTACTCCAGTTCCGCTACCAGCTGGCGAGAGCTCTAGTGAGGAAGAGCCGGCTCTGAGGTTGACGGTCATCACGGCGAGGTATGAGTCGACGAAGTGGAAGAAGCAGATTGATTCGTGTGGGCTCATTGCGTTGGAGGGTGGTGCTGAGGGCTCGTTGACGGTTGAGAAGATAGCATAGGGGAGGAATGCATATTTGATATACCCAGCTCAGTCATTAGACGCATAGAGTAGACTGCATACAAAATTCAAGATGCCTTTTTTGCATACTCAGCGTTCACATGTATTCCTTCTCGCCGGGGGCGATAGTCGCATGCGCGATTGATGACTAGCGTGGTGGGGCGCTGATGCCAAACGTCGCCAACTCTTGTCTCGTGCCACTTCTTTACCAAAGACACGACACTCACAGCACACATCACGACGCTTTGAACGATACATATCTGCTACGCATGCTTTTTAGTTTACATTTGGGTTACTTTATCGCCTTTGTCTGCTTCGATGAGCTGCCTTCTCCTTTTGCCTGAGCTTCAAACCTCAGGCGTAGGCTTCTTTCGCACTTTTGGTGACGGCTTCGACTATCTTTACCCCTTAGTCATTAACGTGCTACACGGTAAGCGACTAGCTGCCTAGTTGCCAGTGAGATGTTTCCTTTTCAAGGCCTTGTTCTTTTGAGACTTTGCCGGTGATCCCGAGAGCGTCTTGTACAGCTCTTTTGCTGTCTTGAGATGTTCGAGGAAGTCCGCATGGTTCTGGACGAGACCAAGGAATTCATCAAGCTGACTCTGTCCCCAGACTTTCTGCTCATGCATGATAGCAGCTGCCACAATGAGTTGCTGCAGCACGCCTCCCTGATCTTTGCAGATTTTGTCCTCACCGTACATCCAGTCCACAAAGCCTTTCATCGATGCCGGTCCGAAACGACCCCGGGATATGAGCTGCTCGATAAGCTTGATGTAGGCCGTATCGATCAGAGCCTGGTACTTTAGGAACTCGCCGAACTTGATCACCTCCAGATGGAACTCCACCGACTTCATATTCTGAGTGAAGTCCTTGTACAGCGTATCAGGCTTGTTCTCCGCATGGGCGATGTTAGATACTTCGGTGTCGATGTGTCGCTGGTATGTTCCGAGGTAGATGCAATTGACAAATCGGTCCACGACGATGGGGGAGAAAGCAGGAAAAGGTATCTCGCACGGTCGCTGTGGAGTCTGAATTTTCAATGTAAGTATACTATTACATGACATCACCTCGACTCAGGTGTACGTACGCCTTGGAAGAGACACTTCAGCATCCAGTCTGCAGCTGGACCACTGAGCGCCCACGCTGAATGTATCGGGAACAAGATACCGTTCGAATTAAGGAGGATGTCACAACCAAGCTTGGAGCCTAGGACGCCGCTGGCGTGCCTAACACGTTAACGCTAACTCTTGTGTCTTGGGGGTAGACATACTCCATGCGCACAAAATCCGCTGTCGGTAGTTTCAGGTGCTCATTCTTGTCGGCGATCTGAAGTAGGTTCTTGAGCGACATCCAGCTTGGAGCTGATGGCGTCGGCGCTGTTCCAGATGACATTGCGTCCCTGGTCTGGTAACGTATTTCAGTGTTAACGGGATTTTCGCGTCAAAGAGATGCAAAAAAAGAAGGAACAAACGTTCATAGTGGGGTCAGGCGGTCGAGCGCTGAGTACTGTGCCAAGAGGTTCGGCTAGCAGTGAGAGTGAATCGTATACGCTCACCTCGGGCGGGCGAGAAAGAAAACAAAAAAATGAGAAGCCACAGTCAGGGTCGAACTCACGGCAGCAAAAAAACGAGACCCGCAATCGCGATGTAGTAAAGGTAACACACCATTTTCAAGCAATCAGAACCAACCCTATGATTCTTGTTATAGACACGGTCCTGAGCACCCGCTCTGCCAAGCAAACTTGACGAACCTTGACTACCCTACGATGGGGACTGAGAGTCTCGATGACAAGTTTTGCAATTCTATCATATGTAACCAGATAATGGAGATGACGGCTACGCGGTGGGGTGGAGACTCTTCTCCTTCACGTATGACGTATCGGGTTACGCGCTCTCACTCTTTCACTTCTTCACGTCTTCTCACTTTAATGTCCTTATCTCTTGGCGGTTTCGTTTGCGCTGCTATCTAGCCCACAGCAAGTACAAATTTTGTCCTCTGAGTCTCTTGCACAACACTCCAATAAGAATTCCGCGACATCTACGTAGACCGGCGAAATGGCGTCTCATAGTACCGATCACGATACCTCTGACGTGGACGAAGAATTCGGACCAGTTGAGTCGGCGCCAGCCCACATGCCCATTGAAGAGGTATTCTGTCGGTTACTTGGTCACCCAGCGGCCACCAGGAGGCAGATGAAGAAGAGCTTCTACCCCAAATCGACAAACAGGTACATCCCTCTCACGGCAGGCTCAATATGACAGAATACTTACTAGTGACAGCGGTACACCCGAGCAGTGGCGTAACAGACGCGGAGTGGACGTCGTCCTCACTGACTCCAAAGGCGCAGAATGGGGCGTACACAAATCAGTCATCTGCACTGGCTCGGCGCCTATGGGCGACTATCTGTACAAGCCCGACGTGAGTAAACTATCTGATCAACATTCTCATCGGAAAGCTACTGATATAATCACCAGAGCAGCAACTTTGTGTACACAGAGGACGGGAAGATCAAGCTCCTAGTCGCGGGATTTGAGTCATTCGCCATCGACGCTTTTGTCCAATCCGACTACTTCGGGCGATACGTACTCAGCAACGCCATAGCGCTCAGTCGAGCGCGGAAAGTCCCTGAGACAGGACTCACGATAAACGCCGACGAAATCGCCCCCGGTCTTCAACTCCTTCATCATCTAGAAGTCCTTCGACTCGGTGATCGTCTTCAGCATGCAGTAGCAACGGAGGCATTTGGGTACATCCAGCTGCTCTTGGGCCGCAAGACGATTGGGCTGGCAGACTGGTTGACGTTCATGCAAGAGGTATTCCATGGGCAGAATCCGATAAGAGATACTACACTGGGCCAGCAAGTTCGCATGATTGTGGCGGCATATGCTGCGTACCATGACAGCATCTGGTTGGGGCACGAAGAGTACCGTCAGCTCTTCCGAGGTGCGCACAACGTCTTCGCAGGACTGTGCACTGAGATGCGCAACAATCAAGCTGGACTCGCCATTGGTGCTTGCTACGTTACCGCCTCTCAGCATATGGGACGTATGGCGATTTCTTCCCTCCCTAGCGGAATCTCCCTGGACTTTGCCATCTCGGCACACGCTCATGCTGCACAACCACAAGCACAGCCGCAGCCGCAAGTGCAACAAGCACAGCCACCCGTACAGCCATCTACTCAGGGTCGGGACGACACGCTGATATTGCCTCATATCCAGAGCATGCTGGACGAACAGAAGGGCGTCAAAGACCGACACGCAAGATAGGCTTTGACAGATACCTTGGGATCTCGGAGGAGCTAGTTACAGTCTAGTATGGGTCTACCGACTACGGTCATGGTACTTGAAGGCGTTGGTACCAGCTCGTAGACGTTTGCCGTATACGAGGTATTTGGCATGATAGTCCTCAGTTGTACAAAAGACGATGTATTCCCATACCCTGTTGATGAGTCGACGTTTGATAGCCTGTTTCCAGTGGAGAACCTCCTGGCATAAGCATGCAGAGTACATCTGGGTAGTGATAAGTGTAGGTAGTCGCAAAGTCCAGGATGAAAAAGCCCATACCTGATGAAGCATTCTGGATGTTATCTCATGTTTGTGTCACATTCCCACATTCTCATATCACGTCGGACTGCTCATACGACGAGATGGATCATGTGAGGTAAGACATATTGCATTATATATACAGTCATTACATGCCCAGTCATCGGACTTTTTCAAGCTCCCACGATTAATAGCTGAGCTTCCAAACTCCTCTTCCAGTCATTAACTACATAAATATCCATCTCCCCGTAAACCATGATGTCAATTTACAGCATACCAAGAGCGAGTCCAAGAGCACCAATACCCATGGCGGCGCCAGCAGTCTTCATAGCAGCAGGGTTGCTAGTCTCGGCAGGGACGGTGTTGGTGTTGGTATCTGTCTCGGTGGTGGTGGCAACGAGGCCATCGCTACCGGTGGTGACAATGACGGCTACCGAAGTGGTCTGGATGACGGAGGTGACGGAGACGGTGTTGGTGTCAGTGACAGTGTTGGTGTCGACGGCCGTTGTTTGGACTGCGCCAGCGCCTCCTCCAACTACGGTGGTGGTCTGGTATGCGCAGTCGGTGAGGAGACGGTACTGGTCGCTGCCGTCGTCGTTGTCGTTGCCGTTGTACTGCCTGACGCAGGCCTCGCACTGTGGGATCAACTGGTTTGCGTTGTTGGCTGTGCAGATGCACTGGAGGACGGCGGATGAGTCGTCATCTGTATGTTTGTTAGATGCTTGTTGTTCGTTGTTAAGTGTGGTACTTACTGCTGTCGTTCTTGCAACCGTTGGTGATGGAACCGACTTGTGCGCAGACATCAGTGCACTCCGCGGGGATGTTGTCGAAGTCGAAGTCAGTGTCCTGGGCAGCAGCGAAGGCCGCAAGGGCGGAGATGATGGTGAGCTTTGAGAAGAGCATATTGATTGATTGATCGTAGTTCAACTTGTTAAGAGTGAGTGTAGTGGTCTTGAATCGAGTGAGATGATGAGAAGGTTGATTGTTGTGATGATGGGCTTTCAACATGTCGAGCATGGCGACTCTTATACCAAATGTGCTCCTGCTTCCATCGCCCATCGGACAGTCTCCGCCCTGGCTTCTGCAGAGGAATCAGGTACCATGGTATTACCAGAGCCGTCGTACCCGAGTTCGCTCATGCACTTGATGAGATGGCATGCACCGTCGACCTCTGGCATTGGCTTTGCTGTTTGCTAGACGTTGTGATAGCGCCCCGATAGAAAGGGCTGAATGTGAAGTGACATCACACTTATCATTTGCATGTCGTTCTGGTCGAACCTGGAGGCCAGGCACAGTGTGTCTGGATGCCGCCAAGCGATCGAAGCATATGAAGGTTTCGCGGAGCCACGCGATGGACATGGAGACAGCGCAGGCCGACGTCATTGGTGCTTGGCACGGCGAATGTGGATCCACCCGAGCAACCGAGCGATCACGGCCGATCATCCGGAAAGCTTGTCGTTTGCTCCAGAACGCGCCGACTTTGCGGAGGAAAAACTGGAGAACGTAGGCTTAGGCTGCATGAAACGTTGTTAGTCCGGCTGTACGACAAGCATCGTCAGTCGGCGGCGAACTTCTCTCTGGTAGCTGTTACCCCTGTATGACGCAAACATGCAAAAACTTATGCTTTTGAAGTCAGTATGTCATGGCTTGTACCAAGCTTTAGAAAAATTGGTGTCTGAACCTCGCTGTCAAATGGCTTGTTCAGGAACGCAGAGCCTCCCAACATCGAGTCTGGTATCTCATTGACATCGAAGCTTCAATGCGTAACCTAGCATTAGAATTAGAATTTGTTGATAGTGCTTCAACGGAAAGACCGGAGTGGCCATCGAATTGTTTGGCTGTCAATGCATGGAGCATCCTGAAGTAGGATCTGCCTGGTATCATCTTGGTAAAGCTACGCAGGCCAAGAATGGCTGAACCCACTCGTGATAGGCTGTCGACTAGCATCTTGCCGAGAAAGCGTCTTATACAACAAGCGTGATACATCGTCCGTTGCTTGAAGCTTGAGGGCGACGGATCGTGTCGGCTCGAACGGAAGACTGAGCAGTCTATCAGTGATTATGACGCCCATGTTTTGTTCATGAGTTTCATCAACAGCAGATAGTGTACCGTCGGCAGCTTTGGCTATACTAAAATTCTGTTGACTGCCACAACTGGCAGACATTACGTTCTTTTCCTCGGAGGCGAAGTTCCCAGTGCGCATAGCTTTACCACGTCGTCTTGGCAACCCGCGCTACCACGGTTTCTAGGCCGTCATTAGCTGCATACGCTAGAGGCGTGGCAGGAACATACCGTTGTTCTAACTGGCATGACCGGCGACATGGCAAACCAGTAGGGCGGCTCTATAATAGCCACTGCGGGTAGAACATAGCGCAAGGTTAGACAATGCCGTCAGAGCCGTGTGTAGGTTCGCTGTTGCCGTTGCCGCCTTCAATAGCGTAAAGATGGAAAGTCGAGGCTCTGAGCCCGTTGCTGTGCTGATCTCAGCAGCCTTCGCCACGTACGGGATAGTCGACCGCTGCTAAACGACGAACAGTGGGCGCTGTCTAGGAGCTTACAGTCGTCCATTTGGAATGTGTTCCAGTAACCCAGAAGAGTGTGCAGGCGATGTGATGTCGAGGTAACTTGGATTGACAGCAACCCGCTTGTCAGAGTACCGGTCAAGAACGTAGGCTAAGTAATTTCGTAGAAATGAAGAGGAAAGGATGTGTCGGCGACTACGTCCACTGAACATAATTGCGAAAGCTGACCAGAACCGGGCACATGGATGCCATCGATACAGTTTCTGCGGAGGCGTTAATGTGTTCTTGTGGGCTCGCGCTCGAATTGAAAGTCCTTTCGTGAGGGACTTTGGGTGTGTACATTGGTGGGTTGATAAGTCGATAACGGTGGTTTGCCAGGGTTCGTCGAGTCGTCAATGTGTGTCATTCACCATCGAAGATACTATACCTTGTGCATATGGTTACTTGTAATTCCATCCCTAACCGTGCGCATTAGCGTGATTCCGATCTGATAGCTGCACATATGCGTTGCTTACGTGTATTATGCTCGACTGCGCGGTCTCCGTTGCATCTCTCCTCCAAAAGGGAGCATTTCACCTGCTCATCGATATGAACTGGACCTCGTAGCACAGTACAGCGCGGGTAAGGCGCTCATGCCTCGTTATGACAGTCGGTCACTTCGCGGGAAGTTGCTGAGACGTGGCTATCGTGGTAGGTGGTTGTGGGTGTTGCTTGAGGTTCAAATGAGTGCAACATCGTCCAGGTGGTCTGACCTCGAACGGGAATAGCACATCAGCACTGTCGTTATCCCCGGCCGCTCCTTCTTGCTTAGTCTGTAGGGGTAACTACATCTGCTCACTCATCACAGGCCCAGGCACGTCTCTCAACTGATAGTCTTTCATTAATAGTGGCAGTCAAATGATGAAAGAATGTGTTGCATCTACGACCAGTACTCCCACACAGCCCCCAATGCTCCATACCAATCGTCACATATTTGTGTATCATATCCGGGTATCATTGCCACTCAAAGACTGCACACACTACTACTAGGGCACGTTCCAAACAGACACTGTGAGAGACATGCCTGTCTTTTTTCTAACCTATACCAACATGATCCTCCAAAGGACAGATGTGATGTAAAACCTTACAACAGCACGTACCCTCTACCTAGCTTGCACGGCCGGAAAGTAGCGGGGTCCGGAGTACCCGTAGAACTGGACACTCTCAATGTCGATGTTGCCATCGTGTTTCGGGCTCCAGAACTTAAGTAGGACGTGTCTTCCCGAACTGGAGAATGCGTTAGTAAACCGATGGCCCCCTAGGGTGACCAGACCAAACTTACATTGCAGGATGAAATTTGATTGTGATCTTGTTCTTGTTCTTCGCAATGAAGAAGCGCGCATGTGGGGGTATGAGTGGCTCGTCATGGGTTCGTTCGGAAGGTTCGATGCGGCTGGGCGCAGCTACACGAGACGCTCGGATGGGCTCAAGATAGCGCTCTCTCCGCTCCCGCCATTCGCTGTATGTGCTGTAGTCGAGAGCCGGCGCGCGACGCAGCGGACCCAGGCGGGGAATGACTTCATCGTCATCGTCGTCGCTGTCTGGACGCCAACGGCTTTCTCTTCGAAGGCGGTCGGCCATGATGGCAGCACTGGGTACTTCTTCGTTGGATTCCGAGTCTTCATCCTCGCTGGCAGCAGTAGTAACTGTAAAAGGCGGTGGGGTAGGTGCAGAAATGCCAGCGGGACCGCTGTAAGAGTCATCCGCTGCGTGATCACAATTGTCTCCCTCTGCTTCGTCTTCGTGTTCTACCATCTGGCGCATTATCCGCCGACGCTCAGAGTCGGAGCGCAAAGACGATATCCAGTTCGCAGATTCGGCATTCAGCCTTTCACTGCGGAGACGAAGATTCTCGATGCGCTCCTCCATGTCCTCGCGAGGGCCCTGATTTGAGTATTGCCACACCGAAGGATCTTCAAGAGCCTCTCGCAACGACATGTGTTCGTTGGCCTCGTTTGGAGAACTAGGTGTCGGAGACATCAGTGGCGATGGAGTGTCGTAGCGGAGGTTGTAGGCTGAGGTGCCGGATAGGAGTTCATCTGCAGACATGGATACGAATACAAGACCTTCTTGAACGCTGGTGTTAGGTTAGCAATGATCAAAGACGAAGCGGAGACACATACGGAGCCGTAAATCCACGGTCCGGTGCTCGAATGACGATCTTCTCCAAGGCGAAAGGGGCTTCTCCGATGTGTTTCAAGAGAAGATTGCACTGGGAGCTCTCGCTACAGTATACACTTTTGTCGTTCCTCAAGACATTCTGAACCCTGTATAGCCCAGGTGGGTTGTCTCTGCGATGCTCACCGCCGTCACAGCTTATGATCTCCATGCGCAGACGCCCAGGCACTACCTGACCCCTGTGGCCGTACTTGAAGCACATGTACTCCGTAGCAGCGCTACTGTCATGTTCCAGCTTCCTCCGCTTATGTCGGCGCTCGCTGTTGAGTTGCACGATGGGGCTACGAGAGCGGGGCTGTGTATTCGAGATAGTAAAGGGATTGCTTGTCGGTAGGTCACTCAGTGAGTCAAGAACATCGTTGGTGGCGTCCATGTCGGCCAGGCGCTGTTCCCTCGTGCGGGCCTGAGAGCGGCGGAGGTAGCTTTCGCTCGGTACGGCGCGAGGTCGGTTGGGGTTTGCAGTGGGCGGCCTTCGGGCCAGATTGTCCGCAGCGTCGCTGTCACGTGGGGGACCAAATAGGCGGTGCAGCGGGCCTCTTCTGGTTGACGTGCGAGTGCGCACGCGGCGGGCAGGGTCTCTGGGGGATGACGTCGCATCGTAAGCGGCGGGCGTGGGCTCGGCTAGGGAGCGCAGCGCATTTCGTGATGCGCTCGTAGAGGCAGAGCGAGAGCCGGTCGGCGGCGAGGTCGAGGCATGGGGAAAGTCAAAGCTGCCCGTCGTGAAGGCCAGTGGGAAAGGCGCAGGCGGTGGGGACGGAGAGGAGGGTGGTCTGGGCATGGGTGACGTCGGCGCTCGCTCCCATTGAGGAGACGAGGTATGGCGAGTAGTTAGGCTCACACGCAGAGGAGAGACTAGTAGTTTACGGTGGGAGGGTAGGAGACGGCACTTGTCGAGGCTGAGGCGACGAACAAGCAACGCATCGTCTAGTCGGTCCCGTGTGGTTGGCACGCGGGGTGCGCACGGGCCACAGCAGAGCCGCACAGGCAGGCTACGAGGGTGCGAGGTAATGCCGTCACCGCTAGCTGCCTTTACTCGGCCATCTGCAAGACGCCCGTCCAGCTTGAATTAGCCCATACGCAGCCAGCGTCTTGTTGGATCCACCAACAACTTGACTGTCCTGAGTGATCGCGCAGTTCACGTCTCGCATACGCGTATCTTCACCCTCAGATACACACCCGCGCGACACAAACACCATGGCTGATCTCACCGAGCCGTCCCCGGTACCTCCGCCGGTGACCAATGGCGCGTTGCCTGCTGCATTGCCTGCCGAGGACGCAGCTGGCGAGACAGTCGCCGCCATCGCTGAGGCCGACAAGATATCCGCAGGTAAGCGCGACGCAATGGCAGTTGCAGCAGTGCTAACTTCCGCGCTCAGATGAAATCGCCCTCTACGACCGCCAAATCCGCCTATGGGGCGTCGCGGCGCAAGAGAAGATCCGCACCGCCAACATCCTGCTCGTCTCCATCAAAGCCCTCGCCAACGAGGTCGCCAAGAACCTTGTCCTCGCCGGCATAGGCTCCATCACCCTCGCAGACCACGAAGTCGTGACCGAAGATGATCTGGGCGCGCAATTCTTGATCAGCGACGCCGATGTAGGCAAGAACCGCGCAGAGGCAGCATTGCCCCAGGTGCAGAAGCTCAACCCGCGCGTCACCGTCAAGACCCTCACCACCGACATCCGCAACGAGCAAGATCCCAACTTCTACGCCGCCTACGACATTATCATATGCACCGACATGGACTTCCTCTCCACCTCCGCCCTCAATGCCGGTGCGCGCATAGCACGGAAACCCTTCTACGCCGGCGCATCGCACGGCATGTACGGCTACATCTTCGCCGACCTGGTCGAGCACAACTTCGTTATCGAGCGCGAGAAGAGCAATCGCGACACGCAGGTCGGCGCTGAGAGCACAACGAGGAGCATCAAGAGCGTCCAGGTCAAGAAGGAGAACGGAAAGGTGGTCGAGCTGGTCAACAAGCAGGAGCTCTACAGCCCGTTGATGCTGGTCAAGGACAGTCCACTCCCTGCGGATATTGCAAACAACGCCAGGAGGCTGAAGAGAGTCCATCCCTTACTCACCTGTGTACGCGCATTGTGGGAGTACCAGCGCATGGGCTACGGCATCTACCCTTCGCATACACCAACAGATCTTCAGCTCTTCACCACCATTGCGAACCAGAAGCACAAGGAACTGCTTCTTCCTGCAGAGTCTCTCAAAGCCGAAGTCCTCCGCAGCTTCCTTCAGAACCTGGGTAGCGAACTGGCACCCGTCACGGCTTTCCTGGGCGGTCAGCTGGCCCAAGATGTCATCAACGTGCTGGGACAACGTGAACAGCCCATCCAGAACCTTATGCTATTCGACGGCGAGGACAGTTCAGGACCTGTCTATGCGCTGCATCCTATCTTCCCTGGAACACCGTTACCCATCATGTCGAGCATGCCTGTCAACGCGCCGATTACGATAGTCTGAACTTTGGAAACGGAGATATGAAGCATGGTTTGTGAGATATTGCATTGCGCGATTGGATAGCAGCGGTATGAGATGTGGAAGAAAAGTAGCGTGGAAGCATGTGGCGGACAAAGCACTTGATTGAACGATACCCAAACGAAATCGCTGAGTTGACAGCGAAAAGTAATAACATCTAATACTTTCAACCCCCACCAATACCCCATGTTACTAGTGACCTATCTACTGCTTCTTCTTCTCATCCTCAACATCCCCCTTCCCAATGTTCCTAAATAACATCCAGCACAGCCCCACAAACGCGAACAAGACCACACCAACCGTCCCTCCCTCAACCCACCCAGCCATCCTCGTGTCAAGCACCGGCACATTGATCCACTCCACCAGTCCACCCGAGTCTGTCTGATTCCACGCCTTTGGCTCGACATGAATGAACCTAGTCTTGGGTCCAAACAAGCCCTCATACCCCAAATGCAAGCGATCAAACGGATTGGTAGTATGCTGTGCGCCCGAATCCGCACGGCAAGCCCAGAACACAACAGGCCAAGGGACAGGTAGCCTAGCATGAGACGCCGCCTGAGCAGGCATATACCGCAGATGCAACGGTATGCTAACATTCCAATCCCCCTCCGGCACCTCACGATGCGTCGGCAAGTCCTCCCACACGCTCTCCTCCCCATCCCCCAGACTGACCTTGGGATATTCAATCTTCTCTGGCGTGGGTGTAGCGAGTTCAAAGAGCGCTGCGGAGCCCCAGGCGGGCACAACCCAGTCTGGGGCTTCGAGATCGGTGGCCCCGGCTAGACTGCGGAGGCGCTTTAGGTTCTTGTCTGCGAGGAATAGGGCGTCGGAGAATTGGTATTTGTCGATGAAAAGATAGGAGGGGAGGGTTAGGTGGGTGTGTAGTTTGCAGGAGCGGTCTGGCGGGGTGAGGTGATGTGCTGGGAAGGTTAGGGTGAGAGTTGGGTGGAGGCCGGTTGGTTGGTTGAAGGAGGTGCTGTAGGTTAGGGGGTGGAGTTTAGGTGGGGCGGTTGGGTTCTTGGAGGCTTGGAGGAGAGGGTAGTGCCGGGTTGGGGTTTGGAAGCGCGTGGGCTCTGTGTGTCGTTAGCTTCTTGCTGTCAAGATGATGTGAAGACAGTGTAGTAGGAGTAATATACGTACTCGGTTTATCGTCTTGCCCTAGCACTGTCAAGAAACCTCCAAACTGCACATCTTCGGGATCGGCGTTTCCCTCCAAACTCAATACCCCAATCTCTACTGTCGCTTCTTTACTTGGCAGTCTGATTGTCTCAGTCCAGCCCTCGTTGGTGGATCCTGCATTGGACGATTCGGCTGTCAGAACAACGCTTCTCGAGATAGTATCGTAGTCCACATCGACATAATCTGACAGAGCAAAGCCATCGATCGCATCCAAACAATAACTTTTTCCATCTCTTTTGCAAAATTTCTGCTGGAACAAACTCTTAACTCTGTCGATGTCACCCAAGTAGCTGTAGTACTGCGAGGTGGCCGACATTGAGAAGCGTTCTGAGAGGACTGGCATCTTTGTGGAGCTGGATGATGTTGACGAACACTTCAGGTCCGAAGATATGAGGGAGTGGAGGCTCGAGCATAGGGCGTCGTCAGGCGTATCTGATAGAGGCGTGAAGAAGACGTGCAGACCAGGTGAGACACGTGATGTGAATGGCGGAGTAGATGCGTAAGGCCTTGGAGACGTCCAACGTAGATGTAACTCGTGCCATTGTTTAAAGACTTTACTTATCTACGTGCCGTTAGGATGAGTTCGCTCTTTTGGTGGACTTGAGAGTGGCAGCAGTACATACTTCTTCCGGTAGCTCATTCAGGCCGAGTGTGATACGGTGTTCCTTCGCAGCACAGACATTATCCAAAGCAAAGTATGGACCGGATTGGTCTTCGCCAACCTGAAGTTGATCGGGAGTAAACTCCTCTGGGTTTGTCACCACATAAGTTATTCGCTGTTTCATGATTGCTGTGATGGAGGTTTCGTTCGAGGTCTGTCCACGCGTGATGCTCGCGATGCCATGTGAGTAAACTGAGCTAGTGCGGAAGCGGCCCTAGCGCATGCCATCCCTGTAAAGGCCTCGGCGGTGCGTCATCGGCATTCACTGGCGCCGCCAGCTTCTAGATTCACAGCCCCAAAGCACAAGCATCTCCACCGTGTCCTTTCACATGCTTTTGCCACACGGGTGGTACATGAGTTGTCTTAACCATCCCTATCCAACACTCTCCTGATCCACGACCTTGCGACAATATGCATCTCCTCAGCTTCCTCTACCCTGCGCTGCTGGCAGCGAGTGGCGCAGAAGCCCTCCGCTCAGACAAAGTCAAGCTGGCCAAGATCGAAAGTCTCACGCTGCGCAAAGGACAGCAGACTTCCGCGCGACGCGTTGACCCTATTCCTCAGGTACGCGTTCACCCTACGCCTTTCCGCGTACCCCTCCATGCAGCCTACTAACACATCATAGCTGAAATGCATCGGCGGTTCCGCACGCGGCCTCTACGAACCCGAGATAATGCGCTGCAAGAACAGCGGTTCTGACTACGACGAAGACTCCATACAGTGGACCTGCACCGCCTCGCTCCCCGAAGAATTCAAACTCGGCTCCACAGACGTCATCTGCGAAGGCTACGATTACCCCGAAGACCCATACATCCTGAAAGGAAGCTGCGGAGTAGAGTACCGTCTTGTCCTCACGGAGAAAGGTCAAGAGAAGTACGGCAAGGGAAGAGGAAGATGGCAGAGCGACGACGACGATGACGACCGACGTGACGGACCGAAAACCATGGGCGAGAGGATTGCAGGTGGACTCTTCTGGATGCTCTTTGGTGGTGTCGTGTTGTGGATGATATATTCTGCATTGAGGAACCGCGCACAAGGTCCGGATGGCGGCGCAGCAGGAGGCAACAGACCTGGCTGGGGAGGTGGCGGCGGCGGCGGTGGATGGGGAGGAGGTTACAATGACGACAACGACGACCCGCCTCCACCATACTACCCGAACAATCCCAGCAACCCCAAGTCAGGCTACGGCGCGACACAACCGGCACAAGGCTGGAGGCCTGGCTTCTGGTCTGGCGCGGCAGGTGGCGCTGCTGCTGGATGGGCTGCGGGCCAGTTTGGCAACAGAGGCAACCGGAACAACCAGACGGGCGGCTGGGGCGCTGGAAACGGTAGTGGCAGTCGCTGGAATAACGGCGGAGAGGGTAGCTCAAGGAGTTCCTCTGGTGATAGTTTCTCCAGCACCAGGCACGAGAGCACTGGGTTCGGAGGAACCTCGCGTAGATGATGTGTTGCTTGTAAATTTCTCTATTGGCCTAAGAATGATACCCCCTTTTACGCGTTATGGACATGAATCTATGTGACTTGGATGCTTCTGGACATTGGTGTACACATATGAATAAGATATGCAGTAAGAACAATGAGCATCCTCCAAGCTCTGAAGTGTGCCGTGCCTATCATGCCGCGATTCCGCAATAACCGTATCTTCCACTGCACCTTTAACGGCCCAGGGGCGCTCCCATGGACCACGACATTGACACTAGCCCTTTAATCAGGTCCCTTCCACCTTACCCAAGGAGCAAATGGAACACCTACCCTTAGTTCAAGTGATTGACCCAGAAGTCTACATCGCCTTGACATCTTGCAAATTTTCGATTTGACACTGATGTAGACAGCAGAGCACCTGTTCAGTGTTTTTCCTCCCCAGCCTTCCAAGGAAAATCCCCCTTCCCCACCTTTACACAAGTTAGCCACCCCACCTTCTGCCCCTCCACATCAAGCAAAGACTCGTTCTTTGCAAGATCCTCCACGTACGCACTCGCTTCCCTCTTCAAGATGGCCAGATCCTCACTTAGACTGGCAACTGCGGAGGGCATGACCTGTTCGAGCATGCGTCGCATATCCTCGTACGGCATATAACCCTCCCCCTTCCAAATCTTCCGATAGATTGTGCCGCGACGGAGAGAGCCCTTGCAGTCGTCGTGGAGGTTGGTGAATTCTTGAGCGAGGATGGACCGGAATGTTGAGACGATGAACCAAGTGTCAAATTCAGAGTTGACAAGAAGAGACACTGGGTGGCTGCTCGCACCACGGCCGACGTGGATGGTGAGTAAGAGCAGGTCGCGCTCTATTTCTGTGCACCGTTTGTTTAGCTCAAGGCTCTTGGCCGTGATGAGGCGGATGATTTCTTCTGGGAGAGAGGAGCGCGGCGTCGGCCATGGCCAACTGGGGTGTGCGCCAGACATATGGATCAGTGCTTCTGTGTAGATGGACTCGTTGTGCAGAGAGAGTGAGAGGATGAGCCAGCGTGCAGGGTCGTTTTTGATTGCACGCAGAAGCGCATGTCGTTGCTGGAGAAGGGTGGCATTGATTTGTGATCTTAGGTTGGGAAGGTTGTCCAAGCACCCCAGGTCTTCGGCGAGCTTGGTGAGTTGTTCGGAGTGAGTGAGAGAGGCGGCGATATTTGTAGTCGGAATTTCGATGGGGACGTTATAGAATGCGCTGAAGATTTGATTGTAAACATCAATCGTGGCGCTGTGGTCTGGTGTAATAGAGAAGAAATTGCTTGAATCAGAATCCTCGTGCTCGGTCTTGATTGTAACGTCGGCATCATTTTGACTCCCGATATTCGAAATGACTGGCTTTTCTTCGGTGGTTTGCTGTTGTACCAACACGACCTTACCATCAACCTCTTCAATAGTGTATGAGGCCCACGCCGGCCCTATCGTAGGCATCATGATGCTTGTAAGTGACTTTGAAAACCATGAAGAGGACCGCGTGAGAATGCTGCCGTGGAGTTGCCATTGTCTCGACGGAGTGACCAGATCCGTTTTGATGAAGACATCGCCTGTTGTGAAGATGGGAAAAGATTCTGTAGTAGTATGTAATATACTAGGTGTGTGCACCACTGTACCATCGTGCGACGGTTCACGAAGTGTTTCTGGGGTTGGAGGACCTAGCGTAACCATACCACCATAAGCGGAGACTTCTGGTGGAGTGCTGATCGGGTTGGTCTTTGAAGGAGAGATATGGGCCGTGTTTGTTGCTGGATGATGGGCAGGTGAGGGTGGGCTTTTAGCATCACCAGTATACTGCGAGGAAGACACCGAAGCCGCAGAAGAGAACTCTGGCGAGTCTGCATCTGAATCCGATGGTGAAGTGAGAGGCTTTGAGTTCTCGATAGTCTTTTCTGATGTTGTACCTTGCGAGCTCGTGGAGTTTGTTGTCGAAATTGTCGAAGCATGTCGCTTACGTGCCTGCGCCGGCGACGGCGAACGGTCGCGCTTGTCCATTATGATGTTGTGGAAGCTTAAATGTAGAAGTTCTCGTTGAATCTACCGTTGTTCGAGGTTCTCATTGGTAGAGTTAAGACTGGAAACTGGTTATGTATATACGGTTGTAAGATCCGCTGGGTGAAGGCGTCGAACTGATGGTCATGACAGCAATGAGTCTGTCAGTCGAACGCTACACCCCAGTGTAACGCTTCTGGCCAGCTCTAATAGCAGTCTGAGATGGCGGTCGGTGGGCGAAAGCGTAGATGTCGACGTGATCATGAGTAGGCTGATCATCACAAGGTGAGAGACGATCCGTGTTCCCATAGGTTGTACGCGAACAGCTTTTAGGAAACATGTTCCTGCTCCATAAAGGTTCAATTCTATAGTGTATTGGAAGTATCCTTTAAGCCGCTTGTGAAGCTGCGAGACGTTGTAGCACACATCGTGCCAAGGTACTCGCCACAAGTGCGCAGTTTGGTATTCCTGGAAACCTTCCGCATACTTGCACGACGATCGTTGTGCTCATTAAGAGACATACACCAAAAGACTTGGTGATGATTTCGACCGTGTTATTCTTTTGATGAACTTGATATTTTGGAACAGTCTGCCGGACTGGTAGGCCGGCATCCGAGGGTCCTAAACGCCACATAGGTACCACAGTGACAAGCTTCGCTTGTATGCGCGAACAAGCCTTTTGTGAACAATTTTCGTGCCAGAAAAATTGGTGGTCTCTTGAATAGTATAAACGACTGTCGTTTGAACATCGGCGGGACAGGCCAGTGTAGGGTCAAAAGTACCATGACTTTGGAAAAGTGGGGCTTGCTAGATGCGAAAAACCAGCGTGGATGTGTGTTGTAGGCGAAGACATCAGTGCAGCATCCTGCGACGTGAGATAGGCCTTGTTTGCGTATCGCCAGTGTTTCCAGAGTCGTGATAAACGGATTAGTAGCTCTCAAACGAGGGGCTGAATGTGACGTCACGGCATCGCTCATTCTAGAATTACCTGCCGTTGCCGCGGGAAGTGACACGAATCTGACGGCAGGAGCAACCTGATCAATTTGTGATCACAGAAGCCTGGTCTTACCCCGGCTGTTAACACTCTGATGCAAAACTCGTACGATTCCTTTTCAACACACCACAAGTGTCCACTGCTAGCCTAGTGGGGGCTAGCTCGGTCCTCTCGGAGTTATGTCCGCGCCCATGGGGTCGCTGCCAACATCGCTGTCGCAACTTGTGCTTGATGATCTCCCGACGCCGACAGCAAGAGCGGACGACGATTACGATCCCAACAGCCTTGCATACGACCTGATCAGGTTCACACCCGCGCCTACTGTGATCTTAGATGCGTTGCTCCATGTGCGCCATGTCTCAGATTCGTTAGTACAGCCTGTGAATAGGATCGTCCAACTCATGCTATTTGCTGACATCTATCAGTTATGTGACTACCTCAAACGCAAGAGATCGCGTTGATCTTGTAGGCCGACATGCCGATGACATTTTCGACATCTCCTCCACTATTCCTGCTTTTGCTCCAGCCCATGCGCTAGTAAGCGCTGCATGTCGAACTGGCAACCTCCAGCAATCGAGAGCTGTAACAGATACGGGTATCGCCTGGCACCTAAGAGCAGTCCCAATTCTGCGCCACGGGATATTGCGCTGCATCCAGATGGAATTCCTCGACATCACCGAAGAACATCAGCGACAGCTTGAGTTCAGGGAACGCTCTTATCAGAATGAAACATTCCAATTGCTGGTAGCAACCATCAAGGATTACGCGATCTTTATGCTTGACCCGACAGGGCATGTGGCCACGTGGAATGCAGGAGCCCAGGGTTTCAAGGGATACACTCCAGCCGAGATCATCGGCAAACATTTCTCGGCCTTTTATTCGGAAGAAGACCGTGAGAATGATAAGCCATCTAGGGAATTACGAGATGCCCTCCGCGACGGAAGATGTGAAGACGAAGGCTGGCGTTTTCGCAAAGACGGCTCCAGGTTCTGGGCGAACGTTGTCATCACGCCGGTGTATAGTAAGTTTCTCCTCACGCACTATCCATGAGACATGCACTGACTTAATCTATCCTCATTTAGAGGACAACATTCTCCTCGGCTTCTCTAAAATCACCAGAGATTTGACGGAAAGACGGAAAGCCGAGAAAAGTCTTATCGCCGCCTATGAGGAAGCATCGAAACTCAAATCGGAGTTCTTAGCCAACATGAGCCACGAGATCCGCACGCCTATGCACGGCATGCTGTCCGCTTTAACGCTACTATTGGACACCAAGCTGGACGACAACCAACAAGAGCTAGCGAACATAATCAAAGAGTCTGGGGACGTGCTTCTTCAGCTAATTGACGATTTTCTCGATTTTAGCAAGCTCGCTTCGGGTAGCTTTTCTATCAGTAACGATATTATAAGCGTAAAGGATATCATTCAATCTGTCTTTCGGGCACATCAGACGTGCCAGAGACCCGAAGTCAAGCTCGAGATCGACATGGACGACAACCTACCTAGTTCCGCTGAAGGAGACTCTCTACGTTATCGACAAGTTGTACAGAATCTCCTATCTAATGCGACAAAGTTCACCGAGCAAGGCTATGTACGAATAGTTGCGCGACTGCAAAAGGAAGACCAAGAGTACTTCACGATTCTGACTGAAGTGATAGACTCAGGCATTGGAGTGCCAGCAAGTGGCTCACAGACCCTATTTACGCCTTTCACTCAGATCGACAACTCCACGACAAAGAGATACAAGGGTACAGGATTGGGCTTGAGCATCTGCAAGTCGCTGGCTGAGCGCATGGGTGGAAGCATTGGCTTTCACCCTAATCCAGAAGGTCCAGGTAGTGTTTTCTGGTTTACCGCCAAGCTCAAAAGATGCAAGCAGCTCAAAGCTTTGGAGGTTCTACAAGAGGGTCTAGCTGGATTGAGCATCCCATCTCCCGTGGTGGCCGACCCGATGGAAACTCTCAAGATCGTCGCTCCTGACAAACGTTTGCTACTTGCGGAAGACAACATCATTAATCGAAAGGTCATGACACGCATGCTTGCTGGCATGGGGTTCAACAATGTGGACACGGCACCGGATGGTAAGGAAGCGGTATCCAAGGCCTCTATCAACGAATATGACCTGATTCTGATGGACGTCAACATGCCTGTTCAAGACGGCCTCAGCGCTACCCAGGAGATTAGAGCAAATGGACTCCAAGTTCCGATCGTAGCCATGACAGCAAATGCTCTCAAAGGCCAGGCGGAGTCGTACATTGCAAAAGGGATGACGGGGTACATTGCTAAACCTGTAGACCGAAGTTTGCTTGTCAAACTCTTGCTCGGATGTCTACAGCAAAATTCCACCAGCTGACGCAGCAAGTTCATGATAGAGATGATATCTCAAAGGCGGGAACAAATACAATACGTATCATTCCACACAACACGACTTGCAGCAGCGTCGTTGGGCACCACTGGGGGTTGATGTCGCAATAAGACAGTTGACACAAAAATTCGGAAGCCAACGAATCCCAGCCTAGGAAAAACCTGAACACCCTAGAGGCTACACCGACGCTAGGCCACCCAGCTTGCATGTTTTTGTGTTAATGTGGTCTGCAAACCCATTCAGCCTTTCTCTTGTACAAGATTGGCGTAGGATCATGCCCTCGCTATTCCCGGGATAGTTCACCTGCAGAAGTCTTGGTACACACAAACCACTATCGCATGGCCGTCAGTCTTGATCTGGCCAATGGCTTTGCGGGTACGTTACCCGACATCTGCCTGCCCTGGAAGCGGACCCACCTGCACGCATCAGCACCAAACCGATATCTATTCAAGTCGCCGTTAATTCCTCAAGACCGGGCAAGGTTTTCGCATCGCTTTCGCACTGATGCGAGCGGATGTCTTATCCGTATGCACGGCGCTGTTGGGATGAACGAGGACCCCCTCTCTTGGGCTTCGACTAGACCATCTTCACCGGCCCCAAGAGAAGCTCTGTCACACGAGATACGTTTGCGAAAAGACACTGGTTATATCGGTATCTATCACACTCTCTGGGGTCAAGACAGGGCATTGCCGTCTTTTCGGATATCCTTCCTTCCAATCAACAGTTCCCATTCTCTCACGTTGCTTCAAGGAACTTCACGACTGGACGACCGCCATGCCTCCAGAATTCTCAGCTGATATCACATGATACTCCGCCTCTTTGCAATATATTTTGTGCTCCAAGTCAGTGTCCAGGCTACTCACTCTGGGTATTTTGGTGGTGGCTGAGCGTAATCGCTAACCCTTGCCGCAGCTAGCCCCACCGTTCACCTCCTACACACTGTCACAATCTCCCTGCAAACAGTATTCACGATTATCAGAGGGCTATGCATGAGGTTCAGGTCATAAGAAACCGCCAAGAAAAGAAATGCAACCTTCTCGCGTTCAATACACACCATCGTGAGGACCTAACCCCGATAAGCAGCACAGGATAAGGCTTGGCCCTCGTAACACTCGTCTCGGTATTGCGCACAGCCTGTAGCGAACAACTGGTTCGCATCTTGCACGCGTTCTATATGCCTACTCCTAGGGTCAGGCATATGCAGGCACACACCCGCTCGCAAAAATGTAGCTCAGCCTTGTTACCACTTCCTCGACATACATCAGCCTGAACCGATGTTACCCTAATGAATCGGCCCCCAACGTGCCGCTTGAGAATCAATCAAGGGTAGTTCCTTTCGGTGCCAATTCTGCTATTTATGTTGTCTCGATCTCTGTGCGACGCTTTCCTTGCAGCTCAGTGAAGCAGACATTTGCTTCGTCTCTCATGAATTCGGATACTACTTAACCCAGCATATTTCATTGTGCCGCGGATGCTATTAGACACTGCTGCTATGGAGAAGCCCAAACTGATGAAGATTGCTTCAATCGAAACGCGAGAGGTCATGGATGATCGAGGCTCGACGCGGTCCAGTGCGCACCTGCTACCGAAAGTACAGCCATCTCCAGCAATCAGACCAATAGCAGAACGTCAAGACTCTCGAACGTTTCCTGGTTGGAAAGGACGTCGCATTCACGCATGGAGATCCCCACTGCTCATGGTCCTCTTCCTTCTTGTTGGCCTGGCGATGAGTGTTGCGCACTGCGTCTTTTATCCGAAGCTCAAGGGCCAGATAGTGGGGAAGGCCGACCAGCAAGAGGAGAAGATTAGGTAATGCACTCCGGTAGAGATAGACGTCCTAAAAATTACTGACTGAACCAGGTTTGGTACTGCGTTTGCCTTCCTCGCTCAGATCTGCCTCGGCGCCAGTGTCTGGACTGCATATACTCAGTGGCTTTGGAGGACTTTGATGAAGAAAGATATGACGTTCAAGGTGTTGAACTCAGCTTTCGGAGCTGATACATCAGTACTGTCTTTGCTTAACATGGAGATGTGGAAGCGGTTGAAGGTAGGATCGGTAATGGCTTGTCTGGCATGGTGAGTAGTAGACCTTGGCAAACGACCTTTTGCTAATGCGTTCCAAGGGGGTTGTTGCTTCCGCCTTTCTTCACGCCCGCGACTCTGTTCATAGTCGAGGGAACCAACGTCGAAAACATCATCGCAGCCATGCCACATCCATCCATCGCAAATGCCAGCGAAGCGCATCGATATACCTACTCGCCGCCCAGTCAGCCCGGTACGACACAGTACTTTGATGACAAGAACCGGATATTTTCTGGACCAAGGACCGTTATGAATCTCTTGGCTACTGCTACTTCATCCCTTGGTGAGATACTACCACTGGATCTGCCATTCAATAATTCCGCTTACGCCGTCGGTTTCTATGCTCCGGTAATCAGATGCAGCCAGGCCAATGAGACGGAAGAGCATGCTATCGACGCTTTCCTACAAGAGGAAATGGCAGCAGTGGATGGCACACTTATAGAGACGGATAATGCGTACTTCAGCTTCGTGCCAACTCATAATAGCACTGGAGGCCTCACAGCAGTTTCGCATCCTCGTCAACACGTACCTTCGAAACCAATGAACGAGCTTTGGATGACGTTTCTGCGGCCTATCATCAACGACCAAGGCGAGCGGGTCAAATTACGCCAGTACCAGATCTGCCGACCACACAACGCCTCCTACAGTCTGGAGATCTCGCAGCATCATGGGCTGCAAAACGTATCCGGCAAATACGAGGTTGGTGAAACGATCTCGTTTCCAGACGAGGGACCTGATGAGATCTCCAACATGACTCAACATGCGTACACAGCATTCATGTGGGTTATGTGCGACCAACTGGTAGGCAAGCTAGCATGGCTTAAAGACACGAGCATCTCAGACAAGCAAGCAGCAGCTCAGTACGGCGTCATCGACTCGCCTATACAGCGTACTAGTCTATTGGGCTCTGCCGATTTAGACGCATACTTTGAGTTTGACGAAGAGAAGGTGTTGTACAAAGGGCAGAATATGTCAACAGCCTTCAAGCTCAGTGATCAGAGGCTACAGGACAAAGCGATGGCGAGAAACCGGACGCTGGACGTTCTCATCGAAGAACTGAGCTTCAATTTGACGGTCAGCATGATGCATAACAGGCTACTGACGTAAGTAAACGAGCGCTTCTCGATCGAACCGTGAGCTGATCAGTACAGCAACATGGCCAACACAACTGTTCAACTGACTACTGACGTAAATCGCTACGACTACAAAGCCTACGGGTTGTTCGTCCCCTACGCTCTCGCCAACGCATTCGCCATCCTCTGCGTCATCCTTGGCTTAACATCGTACGTTCGCGATGGCGCCATGCCTGGCAAAAAGATGCAGGACCTCGTGCACGCTGCACGCAACCCTAAGTTCCACAACAGCCCCTCTCTAGGCTCTAGAACAACTAGCTTGGGTGCGAGCGTCGGCCCGGATGGAGTGGAGATGAGGATAGCAAGCGAGGATTCGGGAGAAGGAGGTAGCGATGGAAGAACTAGATCATGGGGAAGTGTAAGGTGGGGGAATGATGCGGGAAGAGATGAGAATCGAGAACTTGTATGAGGCATACGACGCGTTAACTCATCAATATGCATCCTCGTATTCATCTTTCGCGGTCCAAACAATCAGTTCTGTGCCATCTCATGCGCAGAGTCCGACTACTTGGCAATCTTGTGCCAAAGCGCACTTACACCAAGACCTGAGCCGAAATTGCGATCCAATCGCAAAAGATGCGCAACAAGTTTAGTAAGCCTCTGGCGACCGAGCTTCCTGCCAACCTGAAGTCTGGCAAATCACAGCGTGGTCTAGAGTGAGAGCGGAGGGTCGCGGCAAGCACACATCCCGTGTCGCGTCAGCGCGATGGGCCGTCGCGTCTGCATGCATGTTGCTTAAGCGACTGCGGCTCGCGTCCTTGGAGCATTTCACTCCTGCGCATTTAATCCAAGAATTAGTGTCGTAACCTGAGTGCAAGACCATCCGCTCTACGCTCAAGAAAGTTTTGCTAGTACTTGGGGAATGACGGCCTTTCGGCGCGATGGATCGCAGTCGATGCAGATGTGGCGACAGCAGTTGTGTTGACCTGCTGCTTGTGGACTTGGTGAGCAGCCACGCGCACGGCCAATCGCGCTATGCCAATGAACTCCGCTGTGTGGACGTCAGCTTATACATAGCCCAAGAGCGTGGCTGGAAATTGCTAATCGGAACTGGTGGCGTTGTTATTAACACTGTACCTATATGTGGCGTAGAAGTAGAAGTAGTATTGACGGTGCGTATGCAGTAGATAGCCAGAGAGGGCCAGATGAGAGATGAGAGAGGAGCTTTTGTTACTCCATCATCGCGTTTGAATACGGTTTCCTGAAGTTCGAGACGGCATGGAGAGGCTAGGATCAATTTGGAAGTTTTCTGTATAGATCGTTGAGTCAGAGTAGTCCGTCAGCTTTTCGTCAGATGCGCAAGTGACTTCCCACTACTTCGTCCACCAACACATGCACACGAGCAAAGATCAGGTCGCGGGGAGCATCTCCGTTGGTGATGTGAACAGTCCAACCAATCCGGTCCTCGGACATGCGACAATGCAGACAGATGCAAGATCAGATCTCGTATCACATCGTGGAATGCTACCTCTTCTGACCCAACATACGGCCAGCGAGGCATACATCGGAGGCTGAAAGATTGTCGAGATACCTCATCAGGTTATGTGTGGCGGCTTGGAAGCCTAAGACCTCAACACGACCAGTTGGTGGCGGCGTTGACCGACTGCTGGAAGCTTGAAGAAGAGTTAGGTCTCACCATCTAGTGCATCATTAACGTACAGCTAGTACAGATGTTCCAACGGAGACGGATGGCGAAGAGGTATAAAAGACAGGCTCTTCATCCCATTCCCTTCTCATCAACCTGCTTCCATCATCCAGCCCAGCATCCAGCATTCTTAAAGATCTCATCATCCAGCAACATCCAAAATGCAGCTCACCAAACTCATCGCCCTTGTCTCCGCTCTCGCGGCCACGAGCGTCACCGCTCGTCCCAACCCCTCTACCATCGCTGAGCGCCAGCTTCCCGGTGACGGTGTCGCTATTATCCGCTTCTTCGCCGGTATGGGCTGCGAAGAGCCATGGCTCGAGGACACCGTCTTCTACCAGGGTGATGTGTGCCTGAACAACACGTACACGGCGCCATATGGCAGCTTCAAGGTGTACATCAACACGTTTACCAGGACCAGTATGTAACAGCAAATTGGAGGAGACCAGAACCAGGCTAACGTGAGGTTGCAGCTCGCTTCTACGTGAACACGGATTGTGGAGGTCCTAACTACGTGGATGTCCAGCCTGGAGTAGAGCAATGCTTCTCTGGCAGGGTTGGATCGTACAAGTCCTTGTAGTCGGGATATCGAGTGGGAGTAGTTCGTGGCGAATGGTGGGAGGGTGTTCGGTACGGTGGAGGAGAGGTTCGTAGACGGATCTGTTGAGTCGGGTGGATTAGGTGTTGGTTCTCCTGTCGTTCGTTAACAATAAAACCAGTTCTCCAAGCCGGCTTTCAATATTGTGACATTTGGTGTCTGATGCTTTGCCATGCGACAGAGACGATCATCGTGTTCCGCTAGTCGCAGGTGTGTCTATAAATAACGTGGTATTGCCTGTATCCTGTTTGGGTATCTACTCCTTCTCCTGTAAGAAATCCACAACCGCTGGAATATGTTAGCTAGACCAAATTTGATTCAGGCCATGTCTGCGTACCTTTGATAAACTCCTCGGGCTTCTCACTAATGACCCAATGGCCACAGTCTATGTCCACTAACTCGAACCTTGGGAAGAATCGACCAATGATCGGCAGTGTCTCGTCGCTTACGTAGTGGCTCTTGGTGCCTCGGATGAAGAGAGCTCTCTTGCTGAACGAGGCCTCATCGGGGTTGGTGAAGGGGAAGTCGGCCATGTTGTCGAGCGCCTTGGTGAGGATGCTCACGGGTATGCGAAACTTGAGCGGCGCGCCTGGCTCACCCCTCATCAGGTTCGTCAATAGAAATTGGCGAACTGGTAGGTCCTTCGCGTAGGGCTCCATAAGTTTGTCTGCCTCCTTTTGGCTCTTGGGCTGTGACCTCTCGACATGCTGCATGCCTTCTGCGTACTTTGGGAAGTCGCTTGATAGCGCCGCATCTACTGGTGCATTATCCACAGGTATGATGTTTGCGCAGCAGTCTGGGTTCCTCAGCGCCATGGTCATGACTGTCTTCGCGCCCATCGAGTGACCTATGAGTGTCGCATTTTTCAGCTCGTGCTTCTGGAGGAAGGCTTCTACGTCTTCGGCGAGGGCGGTGTAGTTGTGGACCTTATCGTGGGGGGATTCGCCGTGGTTTCGCGTGTCGATGGCGTATACGGGACGCTTGAGGACGCGTGCGAGTGCACTAGGACATCATGTCAGTCCCAATCCAGCTATGACAGTTCGAGAGAGATTTCCTACTTTCCAACACCCTGGTTGTTCCTCTTGCTCCCGAACAAGCCATGTACAATCACAATCGGATCTCCGTTGGCCTTGCCGGAGTCATCATGAAGCCGGTACGCGAGGTCGACAACCCTCAAATTCGCCGACGCGTGGAATGAGCGCGTCCATGACGGCAAGGGAGTCGCGCTCGATAGCCGTATGCGGTTGGCGTGTTTCGGAAGAGCGAAAGCAGCGGAAAAAGGTTGTATGCTTCTCGTCAAGGCGCGCATGTTGAAAGTTTGACGCTCGTGATTTTCGGAAAGCTTCCGAACTTTTTGCTTTGCCAAGCCGAACGTCATGCCGCATCTTGCCGGCCCCTTCGTAAGTAGCATCGTCTCCAGACCTTCACGACTTCAGTTAATGTCATTGTTTTTCCGCAGCCTGACGTCTGATGCTACTGCTTTGTCTTTAGCATCAACACCCAGAGAAGCTCCATGCATGACGCACAGCCGTCGAATGAACGGAAATCGAGACCCCAAAAGGTCCTAATGTGTGGAAAGAAAACGCAAGAGATGGGCGCAGGATCAAAATAGTGCGCGATTCACATCAGTATGACCTGTGAGAAAAAAGCCAGTTGTATTGATCATCCCCATTATAGTCTTTTTTCGCAGTCTCATCCCATCGTCAATCTCCACAGTCAAAAAGCGAACGTGCATTCCCATTCCTCCAGGTCACTCTCCCCATGTTACATCGCATCTTACGAGCTCCACGATTTTCGTCCTTCTACTGAAAACCACCTTCTCAAACTAGCAGGTCGGCAGCCCACCTGTTCGCGTCAGTACATCCGCACGTCTCAACCAAGCATGTTTCAGCAAAATAATCACACTTACGCTCGCAGTTCTGCTGAGTCCAGCCAGCCCAGATGTAGCAGTTCCAAGCCGGAACATAGTCCCAGATACAGTTCCCATTAATGCATTTGCCTTTCTTGGTGCAACTCACGCTGAAGCGGTCGCCACCTGTTACACCTCGGCGGCGGACACCGCTGGTAGGGCTGGTGTCGCAACCCTGAGGATCATTCTTGAGGGCATCGGAATTGAGGTAGCACACCGTAGCTCGAGGGAGGAGGTCTGCGACGGCCTCTGCGGCAGGGTCGGGAGAAGTAATTGGCGTTGCGACCACGGCCAGCGGAAGGAGGGCAATGAAAGACGTGGCGAGCTTCATAATGGCGGATATTCATAGATTGCGGAAAAAGGGGTTGGAGTACTTGGATCTTGTTGTTGAGAGTTCTTTGTCCTTAACTTTGGCCGACTTTTATATCCTTCATCTCTCGACCTCTCGCATCCGCGAACCGAAATGCGATTGAACTTCTTTGGCATCCTCTAGGCATCTCCCCGCATTATCCTTATCCAGATCTTACTTGCATTAACTCGATAATCTAGATATTAATTATCGTCGGATTCTTCGCATTGCGGACCATAGCGAGGAGGTTTGTACTACTCATAAGCGCCTACAGCTCAGCTGCCAAGTCGGGTATATTCAAACCGTCTCTTTGCACTACACATGCAAGTGGGGAAGTCGAACTCATGTTAACAAGTTCATCAAGCTCATCCGAGCGCCTTCAAAGTTGCGGGGAATGCAGACGTAGGCTTGTGTAGCTGAACGAGTTGTCAGACGCCAACAGGGAGTCCGGACCAGCAATTCATCTGCGACTTGATCATAACAACACAGGAACCAGAGATGAACAGCTCAATATTATTGAAGTTGTGAAATTGCTACTATTGAGAAAAAAGTTTAAAATTACGAATCGCTCAAAGGAAATCTAAAATGGTACATCCCCAGTTGCCTCAATCGTCTTTCACATGCACAACAACCTTGCCCTTTGCCCTTCCAGTCTTCAGCCTCTCATACGCCTTCGGCACCTCCGAGAACTCCCATGTAGAGTCAATAACCGCTCGAAGCTTGCCTTGTTCCATCCATGTCGCGAGCTGCTCGAACACAGCGGTGCTCGCATTTGCGGCAACGAATATGTACTCTCTCTTCCCCCAGCTGAACAAACTAGTCAATTTGTTGCCGAAGAACTGAACTGCGGCACTCAGATTCATGCCAATGCCAACCTGAACGAATTTCCCTTCCGGTCGCAGAAACGCGCTCGAAGCACGGTATAGGTTCGCCGGTGCTCCCACGTTGTCTAAGATGAGATCAAACATGGCGCCGGTATCTTTCAGTTGTTCGATGATTGGTGTTTTTGTATAGTCCAGTACTGCATCCGCCCCTAGACTCTTGACTAACTCGATGTTCGCCGCTGAACATGACACTGTAACGTGATAGCCGAGTATCTTGGCAATCTGGATAGCAGGGACACCAGTTCCTCCCGAGCCACCGTTGATGAAGACTTTGTTGCCAGGTCTAGCATACGGCTTCAGTCCGGCGTATACCGTCATGCCCGTACTCGCCATGGATACAATATCATCTCCTTTCAGGCCTTGTGGTATTTTCGCCAGCAGAGTCTGCGGCACGGGAACGTATTCCGCCAGAGCGCCATGTTTGCCTCCCGGAACGAGACCACCGTATACAATATCGCCCTCCTGGAAGCTTGTGACGTTGCTGCCGACTTTCGCGACGCGGCCGTATACATCTAAACCAGGTGTCAATCCAGAAAAGATCATGCGCGTGATGAGACCGAGTTCGAGGATCTTGTGGTCGATAGGGTTGAGCGCTGTCGCATGGCTCTCGACGAGCACTTCGTCTTTATTGATGGTGGGTATGGCGAGGCCTGAGGAAGGGATGGAGAGGTTCTTCTCCATGGGTCCGGATGCCGACTTGAACTGCCATCCGCGCATCGTAGCTGCCATTTCGAAGGCTTGAAGTTATAGATGTGGATGGAACGTAAAGTGTAGCTCGTGAAGTGGAATTAGATAGGCAATTGATAGTCTAGTTGAGTGTTGAATGCGTTTGATAATGTGTTGATAATGCTTCTGTCCGTGGCCTACCTTTGCTGCATATATACCATCTCACCATACCGCGTACTCACTCTCATATCACTCCATTGGAGCATTACAACATCGCGCTGGTGGCCAGGAGCGAGCAGACCGAGCAGACCGAGCTTGGTCAGCCCCACAATTGAGACGCGATGGCCGAGCAAAGGAGGCATGAGATTGCGATGACCGCCCCTCAGCCTTGTCAGATCGCAGTTCGGGTTTTCGCAAGAGCGAGGGGGAGCTCACTCAAGTCCTTTGGTGAGTAATCGCGACCGCTAGCCGAAATAGGTTAGAAGCGGGCGAATGCGGGGCTTGTCTTCGTCCGATGAAGTACCAAGTCAAGGAAAGGTAAAGCGACGTAGCTATTCTTCTGAACATCGTCTTACACTATAGATAGGCGTGGTATCTTTCTTGATGAAAAAGTGATGGGTGCTGTGGTTGGTAGTGATGAATATGTGGCGTCCAATCGAGGTCTACAACGACTGGCACCGCCCGCCTGCGCAACCCTACAAGGCTGAGCAGGCCACCTCATGGATTTCATCCGACCTTCTACAACCCAATCCTTCTCACTTAACCCTCACCCACAGCCATGCAAGACGACAGAAGACTCACATTTCGGCAAATCCACGGAAACAAAGAAGCCCTCCTCTCCGCAGTCAAAGACATCGAGCGCATCGCACTTGTCAGAAGCTACGAAATAGGACCACTCTACCTTCGATTCCTGGAGCCCTATCCCCAGGGTGGGTCGGAGTTTGATTACGTTCTCACTCCCTCTCGCGGACTTTTGACAAACGACTTGTTGTACGATTATCATTACATCACGGTATCTTACGTGTGGACTCACTCGCAGCCTATCGACGGAATTGAACTCCCGGAATACCGTATCTGGAACGGCGCCGACTTGAAAAAGTATCCTAGACTCCTCAGGTGCCCGCCAATTGTATTTCATCGTGTTGTGCAGTTTACGAAAACTGAAAAGCGTCACGTACTTCGTCGTGGTGTGCCGGATGTGAAAACTTGTAAAGTCGAGCGAATCTGGATAGATCAGGAGTGCATTGATCAGACCGATCCCAATGACGTGGAGAAACATCTGCAGGACATGCATCGGATATACCACTTCAGTGTATCTACCGTGGCTGTACTCTCCAAAGTTTCAGCTAGTTGGGTGCACTTGTCAACATTCACCCCCGAGGAAACTTTGAGGCGGACTGTCGATGAAGTGAACACTGCCGAGGAAACACTGAGGGAGATGACCGAGGACCCATGGTTCACTAGATCCTGGTGAGCGTTCTTCGAAGATGCTCCGAACCGAGACTAACGATGCAACTCCATACTAGGACGTTCCACGAACAGTACTGCGCCGGAGAAGTCGCATATCTCCTGCCTAGGCCGACATTGCGCCATCATACATTGGGTTCCCCAGAGGGTCTCGTGGCGACCTCAGTCTCTATACTTGAAAAAGATATTGTTGTACACGATAACAAGATGAAGTTTCTTCTCTTCTTATGCGCAAAAGGGAACAAATCTTTTCCAGCACTCGAGTCGCGCCCCCTTGTGCCTGGCAAGGGGACCTTGAGAGGCAGAAGTCGCGACCCTGGAGTCCCCTATCTTATCGAGAATGCACAAAAGATGATGGAGAATCGCGAGAATCAAGTTCTCTCTGATCGCCTCCAGATCATAGCAAATGCGTGTTTACTGGGGTTGAAGCTCAAGACAACGGTACTCAATACTTCAACGCAGAGCTACAACACCTGCCTACTGGCATTGACAATGGCGAATACGTGGCCAGATCCCGCTGAGCGTGCATACCAATACCAGGCATTTGGAGATGCTTTCATGACGGGGGGGATCGAAGGCGCAATTGAAGAATTGATGGATGCGCAATGACGCGATCTTTGGCATCTTCCAGATTTTCGCCCAGATTTCATCCAACCTTATGAGCGTGGGTAGCGGTTGTACCAGATACCGCTGACGGAGTTGGTGACTGCAGATAGGGAGCGTCCATCGCCGAGGTAGCATATGCTGTAATTTTTAATTGACTTGCCTATTGCCCTCATAGCGCAATTCAACGGGCCAAGAACGTGAAAGGGTTGGTATATGAACTCCATAAAATAGCATACGAATTGCGCCCTCAGCCTCCAATAACATCCACCGTGTATCATTCCACTTGAGGAAACACCATCCGTCGAGAACACTCCAATACTCCTGGAAAGCAACAAATCAAGACTTCTTTCCAATTACTCCAGCTAGCGCGCCTTCGGCGGCTTTCTTGAGTAGCTCCCGATCTTCATCGCTCATGTGATCCACTTTCTCGACGAGTAACTTCTTCAAAAACATGTTCTCCTTCTTCAGCCCATCGTTTTCGGCTTCGAGCTTCTTGGTCCGGTCTTGCATCTTTTGACTCGTCTCCATGAGCTGCTGCTCGCGCTGCTTCTTCTTCTGTCGGAAGCGTGCGGAAGCAGCTTGATTGCGTTTTCGCTTGTCTTCTTCTGCTTCTACAACAACCGGATCGGTGAGGAGACTTGCATTGGTGCGTTCGGGTGATGTGGCTGATGATGTGGATGTTGCGATGCTGTCGGGGTATGGCGTGCGATAAGCGTTGATGTTGAAGCTTTGTGTAACGGGAGAGAATCCCTGGAGATCATCAAAGCCGATCTGAAGCGCACTGTCGTGCTCGTAGTGTTGCGGGATGTGTCCTGTCATGGTCGGCATTGCAGGCGCCTCGGAGGTGTACGGTAGGCCTTAGAATGAGGTTAGTGACCATTGTCTGAGACGAACGAAAAAGCAGCCCAGAAGATGCGGTGAACGCTGGGTATTTCATCGATCGAACGATTGACGCAACAACATTGTCTGTGCACAGCTTGCATACACACCTCCCTAGGCAGGTATGCAGTTGTCGCAAGTCCCGTCGCCGCGTTCGATCACGTGCAGCTAGCGAGAGCACGCCATCCCATCCCGAACAAACGTCATCCAGGCCTGGCAACTCAGAGGCACAGGAATGGCGTCCATACGTAGGCGAAGGGCCTAATGGGAAGGACAAATAATTCGTTGGGGATGATGTACATGAAGTTGATGGGATAGAGATAAATAGAGGGGTTGCGCTTACCTGGTGCCGACACACCACTGCTGTGCAATGCATACGCAAATTGCTGGGTTTGCGCGATGACATCCTGAGACTGTATGTGCAGTGAATGCAGGTGTTGTCCGCTGGGGTCATATTCGTGGTTGTGATGGAGATTGGCGGCGTCGAGGATGTCGAAGAGATCACGTCCAGAGGAATTCCCATTCGCATGTACGTCGGTGAAGGTCGGCTGCCCAAAAGCTTGCTGAAGATAAGTTTCCGACATTACTCTCCATCGGCAACATGCGTTCTCGCGCAATCGCGTCTTTTCCTTTTGTCGTTCGTTTTCTGATCGTCGGCCTCAAGGTCGGGGGAATGTTGTTGAGCTTCGCGCTGGGCTTTTGAGGGGGTTGAGGGTTGACGTTCGCTCCCTGCAGGCGCGATGGTGTGCCACCCTATGAGAATCACACAAATGCCCACCGGCATGCGCTTATGGGCAGCGCACCCCACTGCCACAATTGCCTTTTTGGCAGCCATGGGAAATGGCGATCGCGTCGGATTGCGCCATATTTCTCATACGATTGTCAACGTCCTCCACGCTTTTACCTAAATAGCGCCGCCGAACAGCGTCGCAATACCAGCGCGCAGTGTTCCCGTGTCTTGCTCGCATGTTCGCAATCGCGAAGACCCGCGCTTGGGTGGGGCAGTATCTGCATGAGGCGTCCATGGGTTGCAGTGAGCTCGCGGCAATGCTGAGCCGGAGGTACTGGGCAAAGTCCAGTTTTCCCAAAACCCATTTTGTGCTGTCTCGTCCATGCGTCATGACCGGTTGTTTTGTGAACGCAACCTTTACTCCTCTTCAGATAGCTCTTGTCTTGCTGTATGTGTGAGACATGTAACGGGCGTGTCAGTAGGATCGCAACACTGTGTCGAGTGAGTCGTCGATACACAATGTCTACACACGCCGTGGCGTGAGAATGTATAAGAATACTTCCAGGTACACCGGCATGGACATCAAATGCCTATACCGATGAAATGGACCAGAATACCAATCCCGACATGAAGACTCCAACACACTATGCAACACTTGGGCTGGCCCCGAACGCAACACCGGAAGTCATACGTGCAGCGTACAAAGCCCTGGTGCTGAAGTACTTTGATGAGCTCCCGGAGATGACCGGTGCTGAGGGGGTCGCGCGTGCTGCTGTGCTTGAGAAAATTCATGAGGCGGTTGATGTCTTAGATGACCAGAGCCAGAAAGCTGTCTACGACGCTGAGCTTGCAGGGAAGGATGACGAGGTCATTGACGAAGCGTCTGCCTTTCACCATTCTCCTCACTCTACACGGGAAGACTGTATAACAGCGCCTACGATAGAGGAGCAGAAGGACTCAATGCGCGCTCGGGTACGTGAGCAAGTCAAATACTGGCGAGTGCTGCGCGAGAAACGTCGTGAGGCCGAGGCACGTCTGAGTGTAGCAGAGCTCCAGAGCCTGGTGGAGATCTGGGAAGAAGCCGAGCTCGAGAACGCAGCCAACCCTGTGATGAGGGCTCGATGTGCCGTCGTCGTTTACGAATACGCGGATGAGCTGAAATCTCGTGAGCGAGAGCATGAAGAGCGGCCAGCAAAGGCTTCAACACCGAGGCGCACAACAGAGATGCCTACAACGCCAGTCGCGAAGAAACATCGTCCGAAGACACCATGTGCGCCCACAAAGTCAATTGCTCCTGCACGCATATCGTCATCGATTAGATCAGATGTTGCTGCCCAAAAACCCCGTTTTGATGCATCGCCGACACCTGCACCGTCCTCTCGTGTAGGCGCGCGCGCCGCCGAGCTTGAACGGGCCGAAGAAAAGCGGGTCGAAGCAGCCAAGGGTGGAGCCGAAGCCCGCAAGGAACGGAAGGCCCAGATTGAGGCGGCCAAGCAAGCCGCACTTGAGAAAAAGGCGGCCGCTGCGCGTGCCTTCAAAGCGGATCTGAAAGCGGCAGCTGGCGAGCGGGATCGTGCGAAGGCTGAGCACATCGCAAAAGCTCGAGCCAAGGTCCGCGGAGGACCAGTTGACATCAATGATGCTACTGGTGATTTTGTCGCTTCTGGAGAACAAGAGGGTATGTTGTCGCATGGGGTTGATGCCTCCGATGAGGGTATGTCGGAAGACGTCAAGCTACAAGCGGACAAACGTTTCGATGCATGTGGCACCGAACACAGTGACCTCTGTTACTGAGGAGATTACAGTACGCGGGTAGTTGCGTAGATGAAGATGCATCAAAGCACACTCTATGGGCGTGTTTGGTACTGGCTATACGGTGTAGCGCGTGGTGACACGTATGCCATGGATGTGATTTTCCCATCCTCTTCTCTGATTTATATTAGTCAATGCAAATAACACTGAAGCAAACCCGCTCACCTTCGCTCTTGCCCATACGCATATCCAATCGCCATTTTGTAGAGAGTCAATTAAGTTCTCGCCACGTCCAGAGCCTTCATTGCCTTCCCATGTTGGATTTTCTCTACATCCCCAGACAACACGATATCTTCGAATGAAGTCGCCATCGAAGACAGACGTGGCTCTTGCGACTTCGTTGCCTTGCAGATACCAAGCGTGTTGACCTTCAATACCCATTGGGCGTGACGGGTCATCATGTAGAAACGTCATAGCCCGCATCTCGTCGCAGTGTAACCTCTGTGGCTCCGTAGTCGATGGCGAGCGTGGTACATTGCTGAAGCCCAGGTCACCGCATATGCTGTCTATGACGCTGTGGATGTTGCTTTGGGGGTACATGTTGTCCTCGAAGTTTTCAGCGACGGTTTCATCGTCCATATCGCTGGTCGGAAACTGCGGGCGCACGATAGAGACCTCAAACCATGAAGAGGTGTTGTATGTGCCAGTTGTACCCTCTGTTGTCCAGCCCTGGTCGTGACTGACAATCAGAAACTCTATCTCTTTGAGTCTGGGCGTTTCGTGATGCGTGGTTTCGGGCTTGTCAAAGATTATCCTCATTAATGGAGACGCGGCGGAGAAGTTGTCGGAGAACTCTTCGTCCAGAATCACAAGAGTCCTGTCATTTTCATGGACGTGCTCGACCCAGTAACGAGCCTTGTCCAGAATGTCGAGGACGAGTTCGTTGGGAAGTCCTAGGCGGTGATGGAGGAGGGCACGGGTGCGATGAACATCACGGCGACGGGGCACGAAGGGTCTCATAGAGCTGCTTTAGTAATTGGCGCTTTCGGTCGGTCGCAGCGCAGAGGAATTAGGGTTGAGAGGTTAAAGAGGGTCGCTGTGGCATGTGTGCGAAGACACCCAATGGCAGGAGGGCTAGTGGAGAAACAGGCTTAGTGTCGCCCGCACCATCCCCCCGACGAGCCGAGAGTTACCACGGATCGGCACGCATGACAACTGGCGCATTCGGCCCTGCTGCCCATGTTTAGCTGGATCTTTATTCTAACCTCAGTGGAAATGCGAGAGACTTCAGTGTTGCATGGCATTGTCGCTGTTGGTGTGGCAAGCATGCGGCGTCTAGCAGAGCTACGGTGACTCACCGCAGGAACCTCCTCGACCACCATCCCGCAATGTTCGTCCACACTTCAGGGCATATGCCCGCTTTCTTCTACGTCAATTTCTCGAAATGTCTTGCATCAAATCCTCCGTTCATGTCAAAATGTCGTGCTGTTATCGGCGCGACAATATGGTAGGCTGGGGAATAACTCGATCTGTTCCTTTCACTTGCAGATCATTTTAGTAGAGTACGCTCAGTCGACTTGTTGCGCAGAACACTCATATAGTACACAAGGTTTTTAACACAGTACCATCGGCTCAGGAGATTCTACTCCGTCGTGCTCGCGTTATGAAGCGTCTTTTATACCGCGAAGCAACCGCTCAAGACCTCACTAATACAACCGCAGCTTTCAGTGTCACAAGTAGGTGCCTTCGCGCTATGGCGAAGATTCTAGCGCTTAGGAGCAGTGAAAGGATCGGACGAGCTCCACTGAACAAGACTCCCAGTCTTTCATTGCTCCTCGATCAGCTTCTAGAAATGAATTACACCACCCTCCAATAGATTCAACATATTGTTCACGAGCCTCGCTACAACAACCACAAGTCATTCAAGGTCATTCCTCCAAGTTCAAATCTCATGCGATTACATTAATGACTATTCTATAGTCCCTCAACCTCACTACTTACTCCACCGCCAACTCGACGAAGATTCACCGCGATGTCCTCAACCAATACCGAAGAACGTACCCGCAAACTATGGCAAGACAAGCAGCGCCAGGAGCACGCGAAGATGCGTCTCTGCGACGACCTTCAGCGCGAGGCCGTGACGTACAACAACAAAGCTCTCCACTATCGGCAAGAGCGAGACTTCTTCCAATCAGTTCGAAATGGCGTCCGTAGGCAGGAGGCCCAACTTTCGCTTGTATGTACTTTGGGCAACAAGACACATTCTTCCCTTTCAGTATCCATTACCCCGAATCGACAATCGCTAATGAGCCATTGCAGGAACAATGGTCAGCGCATGCGGTCGGCAAACACTACGACCTAGAAAAGCAGATCAAAAAGCTCGTCGTCATCACCGCTGCCCGCAAGAAGCTTCAAGAACAGCTCGGTATGCCTCCTACTGAGGATGGATATGTCGACTGCGGTAAACATGCTGGAATCGGGTCAGTTCCGTCCGCACTACTGGTACATTCAAGACATTTCGCTAATGTATGAGTAGTACGTCATGACTTCGTTCGTACATGTCAGCAATATGGACTGGGAGATTAGCAGCAGTGCGCTCCGGCCTCAATATATAAAAGCACTTGAAGCAGCGTCTGGGATGGCGCACTCAACAACGTCCTGTTTTCGCTAACGTCTTGATAGGAAATCGATACCTGCTGCTCAATCACGAGCTAGATTCGACGACTAGCGTTCGACACTACATGGACGAGAACATGGGCGGATCTTCGCTGTTCGCGGACGAGGAGTGGCGGTCGTAGACACCATTGACCTATGATACTTGGCAACTCTGATTCGCTGTGGCTTCGTCTTGTGTGTGCTCGTCGAGGGGTTAGAGGCGTCATATCCAGAGATGACGGGTGACTACCGGAGGGGGGAGTGAGCTTCTTCAGTGCTTTTGGTGATGGGTATCAAAGTTGTAGGACGAGATTGTAATGAGCATTGTGGATATGAATTGAGTAATGGTGCAAGACTATTGTGTTATAAATAGAGTGTAGAACTGAATAGGTAGACTCGTTGCAATCAGAATCACTCTCACATGTTTACATACGCTATGAAGCACTGACAATGGTTCTGCTGGTGTTCGAATTTACAAGACGTCAAACGGCCATTTATATCCTCCTTCCTATCGCCCGCGGCCCCTGAAAATATTTAACATTATACCGCCTCTACATTATAACGGAAGCTCTGTAGGCCTGTGTGTCCATGTATGCTCGCCAGCATTTAGTACTTCTCGTCCACGAGACGCCTTTGTCCAACGGTGCGAGAAGACGTGATAAAGGACAAGGAATTGGTCGGCTTGGGAAGTAGACCGACGTGGAAGACTGAATAACAAAGAAAAGCAAAGAGAACGTGCTGACAAATGAAGAGTCACAGCCGGGCGTAAATCATGATTTCGTGATATGAGGTTGTCGTTGCCAGAGGAGAAGCGGCTTCAGGTGCATAGCTGTGGTTTCAGTCACAAAGGAGATGCGTGCTTAATGCAGGGGTTCATTTGCTCCTCGTCCGGAGGTGAACGGACGTCTGAAGTCCAATAGAAGCTGTGCAGGGTGTAATGACCTACAAATTGGAAAGAGACTTTCGCACGCCCTTTGCATCTTCTCCTCGTCGTGCGACCCGTCGCAGATGCAAAATAACCTCTGTAACGGGTGTGTAAGAGTTTGACGAGTACAGTCGAAATGTCATAGCGTCGGGTGGTATTGACGAAGCCTCTATCAAGACGCAACTCCCTCTCGCTACCCCGCCACACACCCGCACCACCACATTCCGATTTGACCAAGACTTTGGTATCGTGTTGAGGATATCTCTCCGAACTCCATAGTAAGTCTTTTTGCGCGAGCGAAAGCGTGCTTTTCGACCCGCGACTGACACCTGTTGCTGCCCTACAGACCACCGTCCCCACAAGCACCCCGCGACCGGACACAAAGCCGATACTCGTACATTCGAGCTAGGCATGCCCGCGCCAGAGATGAAGAGGTCGGAGGAGGCGACAAGGAGGTACTTGGCCGATACACGCAGAGATGAGGTGGCGAAGATGGTCATCTGCGAAGGTATACAGCGCGAGGTCGTAGCTCTCGACAGCAAGGCCAAGTACTGGGGAGAGCGCGCCGCCCACTACCAGGCCTGGGGAGATCGGCGAAGACAGAGGCTTCATGCTCGGACTGCCTTGAATCTTCAAGTAAGTCGGGATTCGAAGGCACATCCGCCCAGCCTAGAAAATCGTGGCTAACCAATCCTCTGCAACAGGAAGTTTTCGACAAGAGCGCCGCGGACCGCGACGAGGTTCTCGAACTCGAGATCAACGTGCTCCTATGTTTGACCCGCCTCCGCAAGCTAATTCAACGCAAGCTCCGCATGGCGCCAACGCGGGTCGACTACCTCTACAACGGCAACACCTCAAACCGGGGCGAGCGCTTCGTACTCCTCGACCCGGAGGTGGACTCCGCTACAAGTGTCCAGAACTACATGGACACTCGCATGGCCGGATCATCGTTGTTCGCGAACGAGTTGTAGCTCCCATTGGCCTTGGCTTGATGTAGGGGCGGAAGACTCAAGGGGGATTGACGCGACAGCCCATACTGGCACCATTGGCAGTACCCTCGCGCCCGATAGCTCGCTCCGGACTAGACCTGGGCATAGACGGGGTGATACACGGCGTAATGGATAGCTCTTAGTACTCAGACAACGGCGTCGCGGCGCAGGATCGTATCGGACATAGGTAGATGAGGCAGGAAAGATACCTGAATATATAGAAACCCCATACCCACCTTTGCAGCGATGCAGCAGTATCCACACAATGGAAGTTTGAGCAATGTCAGCAGCATGCTGGATCGTGAGGCCTACGTGATGTCTATATCTTGTGCTGCGCATGCCGTCAGGTATCCTCGAGGCCCTCAGGGCGATTACTACAGCGACAAGGTGCGGTTTGGCGCTTCTGAAGTCGATCAGGCAGTGCGTATCGCTGTTATCTCGCGTGATACTCCATAAATCGTGGCCAAAGAATTGCAGTAGTAATTCTCGAGTGATAGCATATAGCAATTATGCCAATGCTGCGAATGGAGAAGCTTAACCTGCTGCCGCGTCTTGGCCTAAGCCATCCGCGCTCGAGTCCTTCAGCTGGCATGTCATGTCTACGCCGACAAGTGCAGACTCGCTGTCAAAGCAGCTTACCTTGAAGCGACGTAGCTAGCTGCGTCTCTCATAAGTCTAATCTCCAGACGCGAAAGGGCAAAGTCCAAGTAGACGTCCTTCGCGAACGAAGTTCCTGCTACTCCTGCTGCAGAAGCGAAGACTGGGAAGAGCGGGCGTGCTGAACCAACCTGCCTCGCCTCTCGAGGAATAGATATTACATCTTACCTTGGCAGTGGAATAGTAATTAGAGAAAAGACAAGGCCGTACCAGCCTCTAGTCGCAGTACGCTCTACTCAAGCTTTCGCGGTAAAGAAGACAACAAAAAAGAGCAAAAATACGGACTTTCAACCGCGGGAACTCCACCGCCTGTTTTCGAACCCTGGTGAATACACAAGTTAGTAACTGTTTTCTGTCAAGGCCTCATCGGCCAGGGTACGACGCTGGGTCACCATCCCAACGCCGTACGAGATATTGGCAAGATTAGAGCAATTATATAGCCAAAGGACTTCGAGGTTGCTATGGTGGCCTTTGTTGATTTTCGAGGCGCGAAGGGGCGCGTGCTTGTGCGGGGATTACGCGGGGCGGGGCAGCGGCGGCGAGTGCAGAGACTGCTTCACATCGTCCACGGCGGCGAGGAGGCAGGGGTCTGCCAGTGAGACGAAGCTCCGCTTAGGCGTGAGCTGCTGCTCGTCGCGTTGAGCTCGCTCCTGTAGCCTGAGTTGCACGTTCCGGAGCGTGTGTGACATCTCAGGCTATATACACAAGCAGCCATGACATGTACGTCAAGCCCGGTATGATCAGGGTAGTCTCGATGGCGCACATCTCCTGGAGCATTGAAGACTCTTTTAACTCGTGGTGTTTGCGCTGCATGCCGGTCCGGTCTGACGTCGCTCATGTGTGGCAGCGGATGTCCGCACATCCAGGTCTGCACCCACGCTTGCACCCACGGCATGCATTCGTTCAGCATTGCGCATCGGAACGCAAAGGCGCAACTGCAATCATGCAGTGCAAGTACGCTCGACAGTCGCGAATGCATTCGATGCGCCTTTGTGGTGGTACCCGGAACAAGTTGAGACGGGTTATGGGTGAAGTTGGCCACACGCAGCAGCATCCCGTTGTTGCTTACCCCGCCTCGAGTCCGTGATGTCGCGCATTACTCTTTGGCAGTATGTGATACCGTTGTTGACAGTCTTCGACTCTTGAGCGTGGCTTCGATAATGCCCGAGCCCATGTCCGCAGTCGTAAGTTTCGAAATCTTGATACGTGATGAGCTATTCCTTCTCTTGTCCCATTAAATCCGTGTAGCGGCAAGCTGGTAACCAAATCCGATACATCAAGCCGTGAGTATTGAAAGTGTATAGCATAGACCCATTCTGCATACATGGTGAGGTAATACCTGAAGGACAGGCGTTGGAGTCGTGATTCCGGGCGAGTCAGGCTTGGCTACCTCCAAGCAGAAGATGACAGAGTAAGGACGGGATCGAGGTGAGTCCTGAAGTCTTGAACAAAATTCCGATGGCAGCACCAGGGTTCTGTCAAGAATGATCACTTGACGGGGCGACACGGATACGATATGTGGTCCTCTTAGGTGAGAGACTTTCTCACCCCTGAATATAGCGAAAGTCAATCCCGCGGGTGAGAGATAATTTGTCGAAGAGCTTTCGAGACGATTCGGATGAAGCATATACTTTTGGAATGATGTATGCTAAGGCAAACAGCCAAAGGGCGTGACTTGAAGCACAGCCAGTTATGCTTCGTGACGCTGTTCCGTGATGATGGCGGATCGATGGCGGACTTGGAAGAGACGACCCATAATGTGTGACCCATCAAATCAGCTTCGTGAGGGCTTCTTGTCGAGCCAGCCCCTGAACTAACTGATTCTCACATGTTCCGCTGAGAGACGCCGTTGCGCAACGAAGATCCTCTTCATGAAAACATGAGACCATGCAAAGAAGGCCATTAAGGGATCTCCGTGTCGAAGAGCGTAAAGTGAAATGCATTTCGATGGGCGTGCCGCTCGACACCAATGCATCAAAGCCGCAGATTGTTCAGCAGCCCGTATGTCCGCTGCTCAAATACCGAACGTTTGCTAACGTCTTTGGCCATCTCCTCCCATCGTTCAGTAGCGAACTGTTGCAGGACATTGTTGTTGTAGATCATGTCCGCGATATGCACCTCATCGCGATTCTGGAGATGAGTGCCACTCAGCGAACAGCAGACTTGCGCTACCTCCAGGTAACCCCTGACAAGCCCACATCGTGTGGCATCTTCATAACCGCCAAAGTCCGCACCAAGACCGATGAATAGGGGCCTTGATATCTAGATCATGTCCAGTTGCAGCGGTGCAGCGTTGCGACGTTGCGACGTTGCAATCAGACAAGGTTGGTCCTTCGAGCTCCTCCAATGGATATGATCATGTTTGCGCAGTCAGAAAATCTGAAAGAAAATCGACATGCTGCCGGTTGCTTTAAGATGCTGACTCCAGTCTGGAACTTGAGGCTCTTGCAAGGAGCCCGCGATGATGTCTCACATGCGGAGATGCTCGGAAGTCCGCTGTCGACCAGCCATGTAACATCTACAACAGATGCCAGCTTCTTTAACTTCGCTTCCCTCTAGAATGGCGGACAAG